AGGGGTGTCACCACAATCAGAGTGACAGTGGTGACCCAGCTGTCACTGCTGAGCACTCCCTTGTTTTGGGTTGGCTTTACAGGTGGCATTTCCAAGGAATATTAAGAAAACACAATTTTATTTTCTTCCAGAAGCAACACCAAAAGATTTTTGCTTTCAGAACATTTTTTTTTTCTCTGAATATAAGGGGAAAATCCCTCCCTCCAATCAGAGAGAGTGGGAAAAGGGTTCAGTGGGTAGAGGCACAAATGCTGTGTGCCCAGCACTTCTCCCTGCAGTCAAGTGCAAGGCAGGCTTTGCATGTCTGTCCCTGTGACAGCACCAAAGCTGCCTCTGATAAATATGTTTATATGCCCCTTACTGGTTTTTATCATAAATTATGTTGTTTTTCCTCTCCCTTTTGTTGTTCAAAACACTGCCCCAGGCATCACCACCCTTTATTCTCCTCCCAAGTGCAATAAAATGCAGACACGCTGCAGATGTAACAGCACTCATGGAATGCTCAACACAACAGAAATCCTTTTTTTCCCCTCTTTTTTTTTTCCCTTTTCTCCCAAAGAAATGTGCTTCAGGATTACAGGGGCTAATGACTGAGGCAGTGATTTATTTGAGTGTTTCTAAATGAGCTGTGCTTTGGAATTCACTGTTGATGCCTCCAAAACTGAGGTGATTTTCAAACACTTGTCCAGTCAAGAGCTGTGTGTGACACTGAGCCAGGCACTTCACAGAGGCTCTGATTCACTTTGTGCCCCTGCAGCATTTGCTGGTGTTGATTTTGAAGTGCTCAAGTCCCATCTAGAAAGAGAATTCCTTAAACTTATTTTGGGATGGGATTTTTAGAGCCCATAAAAGCAAACCTTGAGTTACTAAATGAAGAAACCTGAGGAGATGAAACACCTCTTGGAAGAGTGAGAGCTAATTCCCTTACTTCTTTGATTATTATTGAATATTTTGTATTTTTAGTGATGTTATTGGTAGGAATGAATGTTTACTTCTTTTCTGGTGACATGTGTCTTTGATTTGTTACCATCTTGGGGTAACAGGAGAATTGATCTGAAAACTCAGCTCATTAAAACAATGTCTCTTTTGCCCAGGGGCCGAGGGATGCAGAGAGTGATGAGAATGACAAAGGGGATAAGAAAAGCAAGGGCACGTTTGACGGAGATAAATTGGGAGATCTGAAGGAGGAGGGGGATGTGATGGATAAATCCAATGGTTTGCCTGTCCAGAACGGCATCGACGCCGACGTCAAAGACTTCAGGTACGTGCTCAGTAATTAATCAATTAATGCTCAGTTATTAATCAGTTAATAATAATCACTGCTGGGGTCTAAGCATATTAATCAATTAATAATAATCACTGTTGAGGTCTAAGCGTATTAATCAATTAATAGTAATCACTGCTGAGGTCTAAGCTCAGCCCCTCCAGGCTCTCACTCCCTGCAGTGCCATGAGGGGAGAATGGGAAGGGGAAAAGTGAAAATTCAAACATTTGAATGGGGAAAGGAAAAACTTGGGCCTGGGAGTGAAGCTAAGGCAGGAATTGATGGAGCACAGCCCAGGGGAGGTGTCAGGGATCCATTCCCAGGGAAGCTGGG